ATAACAAGTATTTATATTCATGATGTGATTCCATTTGTTCAGTTGTCCTGTATATTGACAATGGCCATTCAGTATTATGAGTACTTATACTTTTATTTTGTACTTTTATCTTAAATAAACTACTTATGGTACTTTTAAATGCAAGGCTTATAAGTATAATGGACTGACATTATGATGTGGAATCACTGATCTGAATACTTATTCATAAAAAGAGAAACAGTATTGGTTTTAATAATAGGGACAAATATAAAAAGTATAACAACATCAGATGTACCAGCAGAAGTAACATTAGTATTAGTCACTATAACAACAGGAGAAAAACATAGTAGCTTTATGTTTTTTTTAATCCACTCAATACATGAAAAAAAAAAAACACAAATCAAGCACTTGGGAATTAAGCGATTGGAGCCTGAGGATGTGTAAACCGCTAATTTAGGAATCTCCTAGGTATAAGCTTTTCATAAGGGATTTTTGCACCAAGCATTACAGAGTCACAGTGAGGCGAAAGGATCAGAGCAGGTTTAACCTCAAGAAACAGGCTCAGCTATAAATTCACGGGGTCAGTGCAGATGCAGACACCGACCCATCCTCTAATTACAGCAGCAACCTGGGGTCCGGATCACGTGTGTGTTTCCTGTAGTCTGTCTCCCCCATCGAATGACGTCTGTAATGAAGCTGTAATCCCTCTGAGGTGGGAGCATCATATCTTCTACGTCTGATTGAAATCTGGTTTAGGTCTTGATTACAGTGAGATCCTGGATTGTAAGACTCTCCAGGATCAATAATCCCTGAAATAACAGGAAAGGCTTTAGATCCTTGATGTACTATGTTCAGTTAATACTGACTGACTGGTGAATGTTTTGTATGGTGGTAGATTCTGTATATATGTGCTTCTTTTTTATATTTTATAACAACCGCATAATGTGATAAAGACATTATGGTCCCTCTGAACCTATTGTTTAAAAGTTCATAATATATATTTGAATACACAATCTGCATTTTGAAAGTTATAGATATACTATTAAGATATACGTCAGTTAAAAGTAAGTCTCTGACTTCTTTGGAATATATTTCAGGTATTTCTTCTTTATCAGTAAGGCTGCTGCTGCAGGAGGCGGGGTCTAATGTTACCTGTCAGCTCTGAATGGACCAGCTCCCCTCTGGTTATTGTGTACTTTTAGAAATATAAAAATAATGTGAACATGTATCGCAATGCATAATGAAAATTTAGTGTATAAGTAAAAAGTACAGATATTTGCTGATATATATGGTGGAACAAAAGTGAAAAGTACCTGGAAATAAATCTATTTAAGTATACAAATACATGAAAAAAAGCATTCAAGTACAATAATGAAGTAAATGTACTTTGTTACATCCCCGAGTGTCCTTGGGCAAGACTCTGAACCACCAAACTGTTCCTCACGACTGTGCTGACAGTTTATGAATGTGTGTGTGAATGGGTGATTGTGATTTGTATTGTTTAACACTCAAAGTGGTCAATAAGTTCTTTAAAAAAAAGTTATTACCAAATGACAAGCTCATGTTGATACTAGAGGGAAACTCAGGGGCTCATTAAATTCATTGGGATTCATCATCTGGGTGAACTCATGTACTACTCACTGTGATGGCTGTAGAGATATTTTGGCGTTGACCTAAATATCCAAACTGTGATAAGCTACTGTACCAATTTCTCAAGATGTGGCATTAGACCAGATGTACAGTACAATAATAAGAAATGATCATATGTATTCCAGTAATTATTATCTTTTCAAATCGAGCCAGTGGCTGTGTACGACTGTGACTTTTACACAAACATGTCAATGTCCTTTTTCTGAGAGAGGCCTGTTCAAACACAAATTACTTGAACAGGTGCCAATTCCCACACAACCTCAAAATACCCTTACATGCAAATAGAAAGGAGGAGGCAGCACAATGTTGTCACCGATGCATAAAAACGCCATTGAAACTCAGACCGTCACTGCTTCCCGGTAAATGCAGGTGAGCAGACGGCAGCTGTGATCCTCTGATGTCTTCTAAGATGCTTGAGTTTTAAAACTGAAGAAGTGAACTGTGTTTTTTTCTGCTCTCTAAAGGTTGTGGAGAAAAGATGAACGCCATCCATGTGATTTCCCTGACTCTGCTGTCCGTCCTGGCAGCCAACGCTCAGGTCATCATGCCCGGAAGATGCCCCAAGCCTGCTGTTCAGGAGAACTTTGACACTGCCAGGGTGAATACAAAACCAATTTCACCATTATTGCAGGAGAACAAGGCTGCATGTTGTCGTCTTCATGTATCTGTAGATCCCATAATTGTACAAAATAAACTTTTGAGGCCTAAATTTGACACAGAATAGACATGGCACTCTAACAATGAGCTGATGTCCCCTGTGCTTCCTCTGCAGTATCTTGGTAAATGGCATGACATCCAGAGACTGCCACACGCTTTCCAGAAGGGTGAGTGCTGCACTGCCACCTACAGCCTGAAAAGCCCTGGAGTTGTTGGTGTCCTCAACAAGGAGCTGCTGTGAGTATCATGTCCACATCTGTAATCCCTTTACAGACAGGAGAACTTTGCACTTAGTAATAGCTGCATATAAAATACTCACAAGTTAAATCCTGCATTCAAAACTTAACATATTAAAATTGCTGTACTATAATTGCCCACTATTCAGCTTTTTCAGGATATATTCTTGAATTATTACTGATAAATATGTACACAACAATATTTTTCATGAAGAGTTTGACTCGTGCATGTTTTTCAGAGTTGTTATTAATTCTCTCTTACTGTAAAACTAAGACATACATATTATATTTAAGATGGATTTGTTTCCTTTGTGTTTGGACCTTTAAAACAAGACTGAAGTCAGTCAGGTGGTGTCATTTCCACTGTTTGTCTCTTTTAGTGCCGATGGTTCCATCAACGCCATCAGCGGCTCAGCCATGGCTAAGAATCCCTCTGAGCCCGCCAAGCTGCAGGTCTCCTTCTTTGAGAGTAAGGACTCATTTGTTTCAAACCTTCCTCCCTGGATAGATTATTCCAACACTTTATATCACATTTGAGCATCATTCGTGAAGATTTCTGTGTATTTGAAGGACATTGGATATTGGAAATAATTGTTAACTTGACTTTCTGTCCCTTTACACCTCCAGACTCTCCCCCTGCCCCTTACTGGGTCCTGTCCACCGACTACGACAGCTACTCCCTGGTCTACAGCTGCACCGACCTCGGTGTGCTGCACGTGGACTTCGCCTGGATCATGAGCAGGGAGCCCACCCTGCCCGAGGAGACCCTCGAGGAGCTGCACAGCACCCTGTCCTCCATCGGAGTCAAAGTGGACAAGCTGCTCACCACCAACCAGGATGCAGCTTACTGCAGTGCTATGCAGTGAGAGAGATAATCCTGATTTAGCCTACAGACCCAAACACTGCTGTGTGTTATGTATTGTGCTGCTTATGACTGTACTCTCACTGGTCTTCATGTCACTGGATGTCTCATGCAAAGTCAATGCAATAAACGTATTCAAACTGAAGGCGAGTTTTTGGCGTCTGTTCTGTGGGCCTCTGTTTTGATCTGATGAAATATGATATTGTTTATTAATTAACTGGGCAGCATGATGTTAACATTGATGCACATGTTGTCTTGAGTAACTTCTATTTATCTAAATTAAAAATATTTTTCTTTGATTTTGTGTTTAGCGATTACTGGATCATTTTGCATCTTTGGTCTTTTTGAGTTATCAGGTTGAATTGATCACAAGCTGTCATCATGGGGTCACAAGCCAGTGGTCAACAATAGATGTTTAACAACTCATTGTCAGTAACAATTACTCACTTCCTTTATTGAGATCTAAATGATTAGTTCTCCCTGTCCAGTAATGGTTGTGAAGAAATATTAAGTGGTGCGTAAATTAACATGTTTTTGTCTATAATGGCTTTTCATTTAGGGCTAGCGTAGTGGTGCAGTGGTTAGCAGAGTTCGTTCATTGCAAGAAACTTTGTACTTGACGACCAACCAGGGCTTTTCTGTGTGGAGTTTACATGTTGATGGGTTAAATGGAGACTCTAAATTGTCCTCAGGTGTGAATGTGAGTCATCAGCCGACCTGTCCAGGATGTACCCTGCCGCTCGCCCAATGTCAGTAGGGATTGGCCCGACTCCTCATGTGACTCTGAAAGAAGAAGCAGTACAGATGATGGATGGATGGTTGTTTAAGCCAGGAAAAATGTTTTCTGTCAGCTTCACACATAGACAATGCCAGAACGATAAGTGTAGCGTGATCAGCCTAAAAAATATGAATCCAGTAGAAAATGGGTCACTCAGTCAGAGACGTCTGTGTCTGTGTAACTTCACTTTCCAATGTAAAATATATGGAAATATTCAGAACAACCACAATATCATCTGCTTTACTTTGGCAGGGAAACTATTGTAGCCCTCTTTCTCTCCTCTGTCGTATCTGCATGTTTACTGCTAACAATCCAATCAAAAGGTAAAATAGAAATATACAAACATGCCTTTAAAAAATGGAACCTCACTGTTTATTTTGTACATTAGACCAGATGTTGAACACAGTTTTTCTTTCATCACTCATCAGATGTATCACTCACAGGCAGAAAATATGACTTTGAATTTCTAAGATGAGACCAAGATGACATTTTTAAAAGAAGAACCTCAGCAACCAAGAGGATGACACAAATAAAGAAATAAAGTAAAACAATAAAATGTATGGGTATGAATTATTTTCCATTTCAATCAACATTTCAATCCCCAAAGAACTTACTCATCAAAATAAAACTTGTAGCATATTATATTTGAGGTACTGATGTTTTCATCTGGACCTGCATTACATTTTCATTCATTAGATTCATTCCAGAGTGTTGTGAGACCTTGAAAGGACGGACTGTGTTTGTGTGTGTGTGTGTGTGTGTTCATGTTTTATGTAATGTGAAATTCTACAGTTTTCCTTTATGTGATGTATGTGATAAAAACAAAACACACGCAACATGAATTTCTTTCTTCAGGTTTATTGCATTGACTTTGCACAACTTCAACAGAGCGATATCTACTGCACACTCCTCTCAGTGAGCCATGTCATGACTCCATGTCGTCCTGCATCTGAAACAGGAGTATTTCTGTTTACTGGATCATGGCGCTGCAATACTCTGTGTCCTGGTTGGTGGAGGCCATCTTGTCCACATTGACTCCGTTGGAGGACAGGATGCTGTGCAGCTCCTCGATGGTCTCCTCAGAGAGGGTGGGCTCCCTGCTCAAGATCCAGGAGAACTCCATGCGGAACAGGCCGAAGTCGGTGCAGCCGTAGACCAGAGAGTGACCGAGGTAATCAGTGGAGAGCACCCAGTAGGGACCGGGGGGGGATGCTGGAGGGGAGACAAGTTGAAAGAGTCAAAGCTGCTGGAATATTCCAAGCACAAGTCACTGGTTTTAATGAATAAGTCAACTTGAAGGTTAAAATATATTTGCAATGAATTAGACATCCTCACATTCAAAGAAGGAGACCTCCAGCTTGGCAGGCTCAGCGGGGTTCTTAGCCTTGGCAGAGCCAACGATAGAATTAGTGGTTCCATCGTCCCTATAAAGAGATGAATAAAACATGAAAGACTTAATATGAAAAAAGGAATTTAGATGAGTATTCCTTTTTTCTATACTCACATTTGGAGTTTAAAGTGTATTGTGTATCCTCACATTTTCTCTCAATGTTCTGATTTCAGATCAGTCTATGTGTGCTGAGGAAATCAAACCCACAAGTCTTGAATGAATGCACACGGATACTCACAGCAGCTCCCTGTTCAGGACTCCGATGACTCCAGGACTCTTCAGGCTGTAGGTGGCGGTGCCACACTCGCCTTTCTGGAAGGCTGTTGGGAGCTTCATGATCTCATACCACCGACCAATGTACTGCAGGGAAAATACAACATATCACACTGGAGGGGCTAAATATGTAGCGACTGTTGGTGATAAAAATAGATGTGTGAACTGAACTGTACATTTCTCATGTGGTGCAGGGCTTTAATGTAATAGCAAATGAAAGATAAGGAATGAATTCAGTATTCAGTAGAGTTTAGTATTCACCCTGGTTGCATCGAAGTTGGCCTGAACGGCAGGTTTGGGACATTTCCCGAACTTAAAGATCTGAGCGCTGGCTGCCAGAACAGACAGCAGAGTCACGAAAATCACCTGCATGGCCTTCATCTTATCAACACGACCTGCAGAGCATGAAACACACAACACAATTACAGAGGCAATATCCTGCTGCAGAGCTCAGGGAACAAAACATCTGTATTGAGAATGACAAAGGAAAGAATGAGAGACAAGCACAGAAATAGACATAGAGACAGAGTTGTGGCTGCAGCCTGCTTACCTGTGTCTACAGCTAAAACCTGTGTGAAGGATGTTCAGCTTCTCAGGGTCTTTTATAGATTGAAGAACCTGGAGCTTTATCGCTGATCACATTCCTGGGCCCCTCCTCTGTGTTTTCGTGACAGACAGTTGTGATGAGTGTGAGAGCTGGCACCTGTTCAAATGAAGACACTGTTCAAACAGGCCTCACTCCATTGTGGAGTCCATTCTCCAGTGGAAGTCCATTCATGACATGGATATTAGTTTCCCAAAGAAATCTTGGCCAAAATATGAAATGTGAAAAACTACAAATAAGGTGCAGTATATAATCTTTAGATATATAAAATACATGGAAACATCTTCGGTGGAGGCAACAAACTGCGTATAGCTCCTTTAAAATGAACTGAATTGGTGTAATGTTCTGTTGTATCTAGATGTCACACACACACAGTGATGAGTGTGTATTTTCTTGTGACAGTTTGTTGACGTGTTTTTTCAGGTAAGTGTGAGATGTACTCAGAGAAAGGATTAATCCTGTGGGAGACGTGAATCTCTGGATCAAATTCAAAATCTCTAATAAGAATCCTCCTTTGGAGACTCTGAATATCTGCACCGAATTTAGTATCAACCCAATACATGTTGAGATATTTCAATTTTAGATATTAACACCTGGACTGAAGTGTTAAAGTTGAATTTCCTCTGCAGGTGACCTCTGACCTTCCAACGTGACCCCTTCTCATTCCATTCTACCAAAACCATGGAAATAATTTCAATGGGCGTCTTTGTTCAAGGGTAACTGCTTCTGTATCAGCTTAACCAAACATTCTCCTCAGTCAGCTCACCAGGTTACGCAATGAACTATCCTTGTTTTTATAAATGCTAAGTAGTTAAATAAATGTTAACACTTTTAAAATGTAATTAATTTAGTGTAATGATAAATAAATCCTGATGACCTTCATTTAAGACATCAAGCACATATGCTTGAAATATCACATATTAAGTTTCACATTTAATCAAATTTGACTCATGGGAGTTGTTGTTCCTGGGATCAGCCCTTCAGTAAACTCATTAGCAGATGCACAGGTTCTGATTAATATTTCATGAAGCCAGTAATGGAATCTCCTCTCTGCTAAATGTCCAGAAAGACTCACAGGAGGATGCAAACATCTTGACTCTGATAAGCCCTCGCTCTGTCTTACATGTTTGCTTTGGACTCTGAGAAAAGTGTCCATTATCTCCCTCATTATCTCCCTGAGGCAAAAAAAAAACAGCAAAGGTTTTTTAAAAAGTCAGTGTGTCAAGAGCCGGAACAAAACTTGAATGGTGCATAACAAAAAAGTAAACATGCAAATGTAACTTTGGTGAAAGGTTGTGTGTCCTTTGTTGTGCCTCAGCAGCAGGAACTATTCTCATGATCTGTGAGTGTTAACGCACTCGTGAAGACATTTTCTCTCACGTGTTTAACCAATAGTGTGTTTGTGTATGTGTGTGTGTTTGTGTGTGTGAGAGTGTACACAGGTGGCAGGAGCTCCAGCGTGACCTCATGTGTTGTGGCACCAGCGACTTTACTATAGGTCACATAATAAAGCATCTGTTTCAAAATGTATATTAGATTATGATCAATTCTGTCACAAACAACCAAACATTTAGGAAGCATACTACTACTACTACTGCTATTATTCTTATTATTCATATTATTATTGATAATAATAACATTAACAACAATAATAATAAAATACTAAGACTAAATAAAATAATATCAGAAAATAAACTAATTTTAAAACAATACAATTCTGCATTACAGCAACAATAAAATAATAAAAAATACAAATCATGTAAAATGTGTTGCCTACTATAATAACCACAAGGCTTTTTAGTTTAATATTTGTATATGTTAGGCGCACCTCTTGGATTGGCTCAGCGGGACTAGTGATGGAATTCATGCCTGAAAAGACATGAAAATAGCGCCATCTACAGACACTAAAAACAATCAAAGAGCAAAACCATCACAGCAGCTCTCTGGGGAATGAAGAGCAAAAATACAACTTTAATGACCGTGCAGCACCAAGATGAAGATGAAAAGAGACAGAAGCCTGCATGTGGTGAAATGTAGAGGAAAGTTTAAGCATCAAATGTTTTGTTAAAATGATGCAGTCTGCCTTCCACTTCTTTAATATTCCTCCCACTTTGATATTATTTCTCCATTTAAACCGAAAACCTTGTTGTGACTGTTTGTTCTTCATCCTTCTCTGACCAGTGGAGCTCATTGCCTCCACCCAGTGAACCGGCACCTTTAACCAGGCTTTGATTTACGTGGAGCTGCAGCTAATAAGTTGATGTCCCTCTGAAGTGTGTCAGCTGGAAACTGAACCTTCTGATCTTTCTCATCTTTATTTCCACTCTGTGTGCAGTTGTGTGGCTCCGTCTGGGAGCCGACAGGATTTAATAGTGTTTGCATGTAATTGACAGTGTTTGGTTTAAACTGCTTTGGTTCATTGCACCAGGACGTAGTTAAAAGTCAGGCTGTAGACTCAGACACAGATACTGTCTATAGGATTTATTAACAAGCAAACTTCTGAGCTGGAGAGCCTGTCATTTCCATGTGAAATTTAATTTGTAATTAAACTTCTTCAGCTCTGCTGGGCAGTTATGATTCACTCCACATGTCATTGGTGCCTTGGCTTTTTATTTTTTAATTGCAGTCAGTGCATTGAATAAAATTCTGCAGACCTAGAACATGTTTCTTTAGCTTTTCATGAATACATTGATTATGTTATAATAAACACAGGGAGATCAGTGTAATGTGTGTGACTATGAGACAGGACTATTATCTCTGAGGGTCTGTAATACTTGAACAACATTGAGTAGTTGACATTCAAGTATTAAAAACAGATGGATAAACTAGTTTTTGTAAGATTTGGATATTCCCTGGACGCTCTTGTTGTCAGGAATACTGTTCACACTTGAAAGCTGCCCAGCAAAACTGCAGTTCGACCCACTGGCCACTAATTAGATGAAAAGTCAGGTGATCGCCAAAAATAAAAGTCAGGATCAGAAATAAAGGACCAACTTCTTCAACTTTAAAATAGTTTTCATTGGCCCAGATGAATTCTACAGCCTTTACGAGAAAGTGTTCCATAGAAACAAAACAAAAAACAAATTTCTGTGCATCTGAGGCAGGAGAGCATCCAGATTGATTTATAACATTCCTGCTGGTATGTCCCCTGTGACTCCAATTTGCTAATAGTTTGCCTCATGTCTGGAATAAGGCCGGCTGACAAAGACAACCATTGATGACAACAGAGTGGCAGTGCTGCAAAACCTCGCGCAGAGCGACGTCTCTAATTCAGACAGCAGAGTTTGTCCGAGGGAGCGAAGACAAGTCTGAAGCAAAGAGGCCACAGAAAGGTAAGAAGTGATATCTATTGAGTTATATAAATAGTAAAACACATTACAGAAGATCATTGGAAAACTGTGACGAGAGCCAATAATGTTTGTTTTCTCAAACTGAGGTTGTATTGATAGATTAGAATATTTGTCAGTAAGTAAACTGTCACTTTCAGTAATAATGTGAAAGCATCGCATTGTATTTTAAGTTACATTTCAGTAATTTGTTGATCTTTTACATTGTTTATTTCTGTTGCAGGAAACAAAGGCCGGTCTCACTATGAAGTTACCTTCAGCTCTGGCTTTTGTGTTTCTTCTCCCACTCACCTGGGCTCAGGTTCCTCACTGGGGACCGTGTCCAGAGCCGTCTGTCCAACCTGCGTTCAACCTCAAACAGGTACTGAAAATAGTTCCTGGGTTTCCACAATGTAAAACTATTCAGTTAAATTGTCTGCATCCATAATCTTATGTAAGTGAAAGCAAATAATGTTAAGAAATCTATGTTAAATATCGGGCTATAGATGTATTTACGTATGTAAAAAGAGAATTTGTCTAAAGTTGTATGTTTAGTTGGAGCTAATTAAACTAAACTTTACTTTTAGTTTTTCTTCCTTTATTTTTCCTACATTTTGTAGATAATATTTTTTCTTAATGTTAAATCTAAACCTGCAACATAAATAAGGTTGTTAAATTATCAACATGAAATAAAGTTCAGCGCAAAAGCATCATCACGCTCTTTTTTTCCCTCCAAACATAAATCATATTCATTCTTCTCTTCTCTATTTTTACTGTGTAAATATAATTATCACTCTCTGGAAAAGAGTGGGTGTGGTGGGACATCTGCAATATGTTTCACTGAATGACTGTCGATTTATTCATGCTCTCCTCTCACAGAGCTGTAAACTGTCTTCGTGTTTTCACCCTCACAGTTTATGGGCAGGTGGTTTGAAATTGCCAAACTGCCGGCCCAGTTTGAGAAGGGCCGATGCATCGAGACAAACTTCACCATGAGGACGGACAACTCCATTCGAGTGGTCAGCTCTGAAATACTGTGAGTTAATATCTGCAATCACTTTGTCCAAATGTGAAATTGGGAGGTGATGATTGCATCAAGTGTATTTCTTCTAAAATATGTGACTGTCTGGAAATGGACAGAAAAGGAGAGCTGAGGAAAATCGAAGGGACTGGAGTCATAGAAGACATGAAGAATCCAGCCAAGCTGGGGATAAGTTATTCCTATGGTGAGGATGACTACTGTTTATTTAACTCCTGCTGTTATGTGTGAATTCGTAATGTCAGTGGAAAGAAAGTATTTTAATGGATCATTATTTCTTGCCACCACAGTCCTGCCCTACTCCCCTTACTGGATCCTGTCCACGGACTACATGAACACGGCCCTGGTGTATTCCTGCACAGATATCCTCAGGCTCTTCCACGTGGATTTTGCTTGGATCCTGAGCCGAACACGAACCCTGCCCGAAGCCACAGTGGAGAAAGCCAAGGAGACGTTCGCTAACAACAACATTGACGTGAGCAGGATGATTGCCAGCAAGCAGCAGGGCTGTGACAAAACACTGTGAGCAGCAGGGTGGTGAAGTGCAAACGCAAGATGTTGTTGGTGACAAGGAGGAAGAAGATGACTGATATTCTGTGATGATTCGGGCCAGGAGGTCTAGACTCAGCTCTGTTATTTAGTTTGTGCAACAGAACAGAGTTGAATGTGTTTTAAAGATGATATAAATGTTTACAGCACAAAATGACTGCATGTATTTACTGTGCATTATAGTTAGAGTTTGACGCGATGTTGTTTTATGTTTGACAGCACAGATACAATTTCACAGCCACCTTAATTAATTTGCACATCATCACTGGTTATGATATTATGATAGAAATGTTCTGCACTGTTTTGCCATTGAAGCTGAAAAATATTTCTTTCATTTCCTGTAAAAAGATGTGGAATCGAATTATATTATATCTGATCTGATTATACCAGAAACTGGAAACATGAAACATTGAATTAAAGTAAATGAAGTCTGTCAAACTTACCTCATGTGATCTTCCTTAATTCCAAAGTGCAATCTCTACCACTCAAACACAGTTTTAAGTAGTGTATGTTCATCAGTGTTGAAAGTAGGAACTTTTTAAATAATCAAGTGATTGTTTTACTTCTAAACTTTTCAAGTAAATCGCTTAGAGGTTCACCGTGTATGATTTAGTTGAAAGGGATCAATTGGAAGAAACTGAGTATAAAATAATAATACTTCATATTTACATCAGGAGTGGGTCCTCTCTGCGGAGGATGCCATGTTTTTTACAGTAGTCCAAACACCTTTTGAGTTTTTATGATGACTGAAGGCTACCTCAGGTTTGGTTTCATGGGGGAGGGTGAGGTGAGGGGTATTAGCTACAACATGTGACTTCACCACTAGATGTCACTAAATTCTACACACTGTACCTTTAAGTACAAAATCTTTTGTGTGTATTGGTGTATCCCAGGTAATTCTGAATAATCTCGAGATTGTTTTCCAGATTATTGTTCTCTATTGTTAAAAAAACTTTATTTGTATAGTACACATCAAAACAAGGTTACAAAACGCTTCACATAATACAATATAGGATCAAAATAAATATATATCGACCCAGACAGATAGATAGAAAGATAGATAGATAGATAGATAGATAGATAGATAGATAGATAGATAGATAGATAGATAGATAAAGCCACATTTTCATCGCACGAGCCGCGGAACCTTTGTCTCCCGTTGTGACTTTCACACCGGACTTTTCTTCCCAGCACACCAGCTGTGTATCGCCTCCAGTCTGGAGAATCGTGTGTAACTGAGACAGAAAGTCATTAATGTTACAGACATCGTTCATCTATGCCTCTGAAGGACCAGTCCAACTCTACCGCCATGAAACCAGCCGTGGATGAGATGTTCCCTGAAGGCGCTGGACCCTACGTGGACCTGGACGAGGTTGGTTAGCTAACAAGCTAATTCCAAATAGCAGCGGACATCATGTAAAAATGAACTGATTAGCCGGAACTAGCTGCTCTCGTTGTCTCTGTTATTGCATTTGCAGGTTGATGTTTTTATCTAAACATCACTAACTTAGCTAGAAGTGTTAGATATCTAAAGGTTTAGCTCATGCTAACGTTAGTGTGTATTTCCTCACAGAGGGATGCGAGTTAGCTAGGACGTTTTATTTATCGTTGGTTCACCTGCAAATGAACCTAATGTTAAATAATGCAGACATCTTATAATGAGCACTTTAACATTAACTCCATGCTAATGCTAACATAGCCCATTGTAGAATCTCCACCGTGTTTGTTTCTGCACCATGATGCTGTCATGCTCCAACACGTCATTGATGTGGTTTGTTGGAGTCACATGATGTTGATGAAACCAGTTTGAGACCAGTTTAGCTCTGTGACATGGTGAAGCATCACAGTGAAAGAGGCCTGTGTACAGTGGTGAACCACAAAGGGACACACACATGGTCAGCTAAAGATGGACACCTTTTATTGTACAGCACTTGAGTTACCTCTGTTTTAAATGGGCTTTATGAATTCAGAAGTGCAATTTGTAGATAGTAATTTATCTTGTTTTAACTTATCTTTACTTTATATTCTTCATTTTTCATGCTTGTTGATTATCTTGCTGTTGCAACTCTTTTAATTTTCCAATCTTGGGACAATAAAGGGATTCTGATAAAATACAATTGACTACTGAAATGCATGTGATCACGAAATCCCCATGTGCTCATTACAACAACACTGTATTATATCATGCAACCGAAAGTTGGAAACGCTGAATATGTGAAAGAAAAAAGATGCTGCTCTCTAGACACTGGATGTCTCGGAGGAGCTGAACACAAATCTGCGTGTGATTGTTTGTGCCGCTTGTCTCTGACTTCCTGGAGTGAAATTTGTGCCTCTGAGCTGCATGTTTGTTCTCTGACAGGCTGGGGGAAGCACAGGACTGCTCATGGACCTGGCTGCCAGTGAAAAGGCAGTTCACGCAGACTTCTTCAACGGTAAAGATTAATGTGCAAACTTCACTACTTGTCTGAACCCTGCATTTTAATGTTGATTTTGCACAATGTTAAATCATTTTTGTCTGAAACTAATGCTTACAATTCACATTTTCCATGTATGCACTGTATTAGAGAGAGATTATATGATGTTTGATACATAAATGTAGTTGAAGTTCTCAAAACAATTTCTTATATTGACTTATTGATTGCCTTTAAAATGATATTAATGTTCCAATGAGGTCATTGGTTTCACCTTTGTATTCTCAACCATCTTTTGGATACAGCTTTGTCATGTTTTCCTACAGTATGTGTTTAAAAACTACAGATGCCAGTGAGTTAGTTTTTATATTCCCAGAGATTTTGGCAGCAGCATATTCTCACAGACTCACAATCAACATTCAGAAGCTGTATCTCAGACTTCATTATTGACTTTTGATTTATTCTATTAAATGTTGATTAAGTTTATATTGAGCTGCAACAATCCTCCTAAAGCATTCTACAAATGTCAGTGCAAGTTTTTTTTGCTTGCTGTGTAATTTAAAGTGAGCTGAGGAGTCTGTCATCATCAATAGGAAATTGTCAGTCAGGGCATATTGAATCTTTTAGCACATGAGGTTTTTTTTTCACCCCTGGGCGTCAGTTATGTTGCTGGTTCCACAGCAGGAAGCTTCTTTACTGGCCCCAAAACATTCCTTGAAGCCCGCCCCCCCTTTTACAAACTGCATTTTATAATGGAGTGTGATCTCTGTCTCGGGGCGCTGCTACATCAAACAGCCACAACCTTGTGCCATATGCAACACAGATTCAACGCAGACTTCTCAGCGGGATCTCTGTAGATGTGCTTTGTATGAGGAGGCTCATTTAGGGGGGGGTACCCTTTATTCCCCCTCTGATTGAGATGTGTGCCACTTAACTGTCTCTAGGCTCGTTGAAAGCAGCTCCCAATCCCTCGGCCTAGATTCGTAAAAGGATTTTAAACGTTCATTCATTTAAACAATCAGTGTCACACTCGCTTAATTCTTTCAGCCACTAAAGTAAAAGTACTGTGACAGTTTTTGTTAATGTGTGTTGTTCCACATTGCCGTGAAATATCCAGGCTACAGGATTTCTGTGGGGAAATTACTTTATTGTTTTTAGGTCTGTTTAGGTTTAGTCATAAATGTTTTTACCCAAGACTGATTTCAAGCTGCTGTGTGAACAAGATTATACAATATGTTAAACATAAACTGAGTCTTTTGAAAATGTATAATCAGGTTTTTAGAAAAAAATTCAAAATGCTGTTTAACTAGTTCAGGTTTGTTTTTTCGCATTATTTTGCCTCAGCTCATATTTCAAGTCGTCCTTAAGGATTTTTTTTAAATTTTGAGCAGTTGTCACTTAAAGGTGAATTGACTGCCCCACAGCTAAAACATTTTCTCAGCATTTACAACATGTGGTCAGGAGTAATGTCACCTGAAGGTTACCTGTCTTTCATTCTAGGTCATGTGTTTGTGCCTTTAATTAGGCTTAAAATATTGTTTTCCATCATGTGCAGTTTGTGTTGTCTGTGTTGTGTATGTGTGATGACATGTTTGAAAACGCCACTTTGTGCACAATACAGACAACACGTATTCAGAGCAAATTCCTGTGTGCAGGCTGCACACACTACATGCAGACTGAGTACAGACTGTTCAATATAAAGTGAGAAGTCAGAAACACTGATCAGAGTTTACATGTAAGTTATTTTCTTTCACAGCAGGTCATTTACAAACGTGTACATTATGTTCTTTGCACTCCTAATCGCCTGTGTGTGTTTGAGATGTGTGTGCATGCATATGTATGTGTGTGTTAACCATGTGTCTGCGAAGTGCTGGAGCTGAAACAAATAGTTGATTGAAAGACAATTAATCAGCCTAGTTGATAATCATGGAAGGTTTCAAGTAATTTTTCTAGAAATTATTTGAAAAGTTATTCGGTTCCAGATTCTCACTTGGAAGGATTTACTGCTTTCTTCATCTCATTTGACTGTGAACTGAATAATTCTGGGTTAATGTCGGTGAACAAAACATTTGACTTCACGTTATCAATCAACTGACTCTGACAGCCACGGAAAACAAAGAATATATAAAGAGCAAAGGTACTTTCAATGTTAAGAACAGTTGCAGAAAATAAACAGGTCAGACAAACTCATATGACTCATGACAGGGATTGTCTGCAAAAATGAAAGTGTATTTCCCTTTTATCTGGATTTGTAGAGTGTTAAATGCAGTTTACCTGCAGCAGAGGATGTGGCACATATTATCCAGCGTGTTCATGCAGTTCTTCTGCTGACCCCTGACCTCACAAACTGTCAGACCCACAGGAAGGCCACTCCGCAGACTCCTCACCAAGTGCATTCCCAGATCCTTTTACTTTTATCACCCTGCGCCCCTTCGACCCACCGACCCAAACCATTGCTTTATGAGAAAATGCTTGGCTGGCAGAAAACGTCTGAAACGCAGCCATGGTTTTGTTGTCCAGCTGCTCTGTCACTTTATTAGAATAATTGTGCTTCTTGTTTTTCTCCCACAGATTTTGAAGATCTGTTTGACGACGATGACATCCAGTGACAGATTAACGCATGTCCTCAGAGTAATGATATTCACGCTCAAGCCTCACACCACTTTTTTATGTGGAAAGCAAACCAGCCATTTACTGTCTAATGACATACAATTTCCCTTCATAGTTTTCCTAGTTTCAGGCTTTTAAAAACATCCTTATAGAGTCGTCACCATCTCCAGATGTTGCGAAATTCTTAAGATCCCAAGGATTCCTTCATATATGGAATGTTAAAATTATGAGCTTGTATCGTGCTCGTGTCTTCGACTTCTACACTGGATTGCAGGTTTCAGTGTGCTGGAGAACACCTGTTAGGAACATAATTATACATGTGATGGGCAGAGGCTCCATATGCTGTCGCTCTTAAACATGCTGCAGATGGTATATGATAAGTGATGGTCTGGTAAAATCGTT